CAATTCAGGAGCTGGTTGCAAGTGAACGGATAGGTGGAGAAACAGCCCAAATGGCTCTCTGTTGTGTCGTCAGTCTGTTGGGGTCCGTAGCACATAAAGTATGGGAATAAGGAGAGGTGGGAAGGATGTGGCAAAAGTATAGAGAATTTTATAAGATCTCATCTACAAAGCAGGGTTAACTACAACTATTGAGAAAGGAAATACAGGGAATCATCTTTCTTGATCAGGATCAGTGCTTTTATTGAGGCTGTTTACTGTACCATATATATAGAATACAGAATTGTATAACAGATTTTTTGATTTATTGGAATAAAAAGCCCCAAACCACCCATGCCAAAGTCACATTCTTTTGCTGAATATCCAGGGAGTTTTTGTTGGAAGCCTGGAAGATAGAGTTTGAGCTAAGATGCACTTTGCAGAAGGAATTTTGTTTTCACTGTTGGCTTGAATTAAGAGAGTATTGTGTGAGAGCAGGATACTGTATGATGTAATCTGAGCACCCAAATTTCCTACTGTGAGTTTATCAGAATGTGATAAATAAATAACTAGAAATGGTATGTTATCCCTATAATTCCTGTTTTATACTACTAATATATTGTAATCCTCTTTTATAGCCTGCTGCAGCCAACAGCATTCTAGCTAATAAATTTATTATTGCTTTCCTCCTAGCAGGGAAGAAAGATTACTAGGAAGGGTCTGCTCCTCCTCTTTCTCATTTCAGTACCAATTAGAGTGGGATTGGGAGCTGCATGAGTGGCAGAGTGCTCTGACTGTGGAATGTCACCAGTACGAGAGATGAAGATTTATTGTTTCCGTCCCTAAAGTGATACGGAGAGTCTTGGTCATGTTCTGTCTCTTCGGACACTTTTTTCTTGTTGTGTCAGCAGTACAGAACAGTATAAAAGCTGTATATGTGCCACAACAAAACACCATTATTTAGAAATGATGCTTCATGAACCTGTAATAGCTGAATTTAGTGTTGCTTTAGCACAGTGGTTCAGCCTTAACAATTAATATTACCTGATATGCTTAACAGTATTTCTTATGTGAGAATCGCTTCACAGCTGGAGTGCTTTGATGGATGTGCATTCTAGTTCTTGGGAACTTTACTGAACAAGCAATGCTAACTTAGGCTTGTCTGGACAAGCCACAAATAATTCAACAATCCACAATCCAAGACATATAGGTCATAGTTTGAAAAATGATAGTTTGATAAGCTTTTTTCTGTTTTTAATGTTATGCTTTGCAGCTTCAGAAGCTTCTTACTATGGACCCTACAAAGAGAATTACCTCAGAGCAGGCTTTGCAGGACCCCTACTTTCAAGAGGATCCTCTGCCTACATCAGAGTATGTATTCCCTCTTCTGTGCTTTTCAGGGGTGTCTTCTTTCTGCTAAATGGTAATCCCTGAAATGAGGTGACAGCTGAAAAATTCATGGATATCTACCATATCCACAAGAAGTAGTAGCTCAGGCATGCTTAGTAGAAACTATTAGTGTAGTACTGAAGTGTCTGTATCTACTGGTGCCAGAACTGAGTGGTCGTGGACAATAACCCAGTACCGCACTGGTGTTGTAATTCTGAACGTACTACCAAAGTTAGCGTGACAATATTATTGGAGTATTTAGAGAACTAATGTGTGCCCTGTTCTGTTCTGCCTTACACAGCCTCACAGAGCCCTGTTCTCCATTGCCTGGTTTCATTGTGCCTCTCCCTAGGACTAGGACAGTTCTCTGACCTACAGCCCCTTCCCGTGCCCTCTTGCACAGGGTAACAGTGTGAGGAGAGAAAAGTGAAGAGATCAATGACCGCCTAAAATCCCACAGGTCCCTTGTTCAGAAGGCTTGAGAGTACAGATTTGATATCTCTATATATTTTGTTGTCATGAAAAATTCAAATGATATATTCAATTCCTACTGGCAGACTTTCCTCTTCCAGTTTCTGTTCCCAGTTTTTAGAAGCGTGGTGGTTCATAGCATCATGATCCATAGGATCTGGATGCAGGGAGACTTCCACCTTTGCTTTTACTGCTTCCTCAGCTAGCAGGCAACACTAAAAGTAGAGAACAGCCACTGGAGTGCAAAAGGAGTCTAGTTGAAACTAGTTGGGGTTTCTTTCTTTCTTTTTCTTTCTCTGTTTGGATAAGCCAAACACTACATAGCAGCTAGATTAGGAACTGTTTACACACTTTAAAAAATCATGTCATGTTGATTGTATTCTGAATGCTGGCACAGAAATCTAAGAAATTGATACTGGTCAAGATCTACCAGTAATTTTCTATTTAGTGTATATCTGATACTATCCTATGTAGAGCTATAGCTCCCCATGGATTACAGAATAACATAATGATAAAATCTCTGCCATAAACATTAAGGAATGTTCCAAATACCATTAGCCAGATGAATTTAAAAGCTATCATTTTTTCCTCTAAACAAGACCTGAGAAGCTAATTGAAAGTAACTCTGCAGTTGCGATTGGCAAATATGTTCAAGCCCGCTGTCAGCCAAGGCGGGCTCATAAGACATTAATACTCTTTGGATCAGGCCCTTTATTCAGTGAGGCATGCGTGTTCCAATGAGGTGTTGTGGAACCTCTGACACTGTGTTTGTTCATTTTGCCATCTGGATCAATAAGTGGTCGTTCTGGCATTTGGGCATGCTCAACCATGCCATGATTTCTAAATGATGGCCTCATGCCAACAGCAAAGAGATCTGCCATTATGATCAGCACCTAGCTGCTGGTATCTGCTGCTATCTTGGGTGCTCAGCAGTGCCACTCACTTATCGAAACAGGACTCATGAAATACAAGAAATGAAATTATGTAATATTCACTTGTTTTTAATATAGCATTAAGTAAACGTATGTCATATGTATGTATTTGTGGAGTGTTTACCATTTACTCTGTTTCAGTGTATTTGCTGGCTGTCAGATTCCATATCCTAAAAGAGAATTCCTCAATGAAGATGAACCTGAAGAGAAAGGGGATAAGGTATAATAAACTCCTTTTATTTTTTTTTTCTTTTATGTATGTGATAAAAAGAATCATGGTGCTACCAAATGAAAACTAATGAAACGTAAAGACTTAACCAAAAATGTGTTTTCCAGCCAAGGCTCTCTTAAAACTGCTTCCCAGACAGATTGAAAGTATCAGATGACTTTGGGATGTCTCAGGCAGTATCACCAGCACAGTTTGCCCTGACCTGTGGGGACTGAGATGGATGGGTTGTTCTGTCAGCCGTAGCCTGCTTTCAGCTGCCATCATTCCAAGAGGACCTTGCTACCTCCTCCTGTATCGCATGATGAAAATAGATTGTGATCACATGAATAGAATGGCATTTCCATTGTATGACTGGCATACATCCAGCCATTTGAAAGTAGATGGCTGTCAGGGTCTCAAATAAATAGTGGCAGCCTGCTTCTGGCACTACATCAGAACATTTCGCCCATCTGCACACAGTTTCCTGATCATGTTTTAAGGGCTCTCGGACAAAGGAGTAATAAGGAGCATGAACTGTTCTGGTAGCGACAATCTGCTCTGAATACTCTCTTTCCCATAGCCCTATAGACGTGGGCAAGAACTTGTTTGTGTGTATAGTAAATTTTGGTGTGCTTGCAACATAATCTGACCTGCTTTGTCTGTGTAGCTCAGCTGTGCTACGTGACCACAGTGATTGTCCCATCATGATGTGAAGGCTGGACAATGGTGCTATAGTGTATGAAACAACTTGTTATTTTCACTTAAAAGTGTACAGTGAGACACCAACAGTAATGTATAGCTAACAAAATGTGAAGAAAACAGCCTTAAACTATAATTTTAACATGGGATTACATGAGAAGGACTGTTAATCTTTTGGAGAAACCATTTGACTACATGCATCTTCTGTTTTCAGATTTTCTGCATAACATGAGAAACTAGCTGAGTGTAAAAGTATGCCTATCACAATACATTTCAGACAGCAAATTTTGGTTTTGGAACAGATATTGTAGATCCTTCTGCACTGAGAACAAGTAGTAACATCCTGGATTTTTGTGTCCAGATAGTTTTTTCAAAAAGAGGAAAGAGGCACCTAAGCAAAAATACAATGAAAGTCATGATACTGATTTGATTGTAATTTAGTTACTAGCTTTGCTTCAACTCTCACAGCTTCAAAAACAAAAACAAGCCTTATGAATTAAAATTACTCTGGCTTTTGTGAAGTCAGTGTATTTAAAAGTAAAGATCTGTCTTTTTCCTGGGAATGTTGTGGGGGGGGAAACAATGGCATGTTTATATTCAAAACAGCCATTATATAAATGGTCTTTGAGATTGTTGGGGACAGTCACGTATTTATGCACACTCCAAATTAAACTATTTGTCAGACCATTTCGGTGATATAAGTCACGCATTACTCATTGAATGTGTTCCCACAGTGTAGAAAATATGAAGGTAAAGGATATTCTGAAAGTTGGATCTGTGTCATGTTTTGTTTCTTTATGATGTTGTTGCAAGTGAAAGGATTTTTTTTTTTTCCAATAGTGTTAGTTTCTGGTTTGTTTTTAAAACTATAAATATCTGTATAGTCCTTTGGAAACCTAGAGGAGTTCTCTGTGTTTGTTTATTTGGAACTTGCATCTGAATTGAATAACCTTTAACATAAGCATCTGTTCTTCGAAATGGTTAATCGTTAGTTAGCAAAGCTAAAATGAGTGTGTGTAGAACAAAGTGGAAAGATTCTTTTCTCATTCAAATTCTGTTAGGCAGGTTTCCGCTGGGTTCGTTGCTAGGTAGGACCAGCATTTCATTTTGGTAATTTGTGCCTGAGAGGTGACCCATGGTAATATGTTGCTAACTGTAGACCTTTTACAAGTTTATCCATTTAGGAACCACCATGAACTAGACTGACCTGAGGACAATGTTTTTGCTGGCGTAAGCTGGTTTTGTGCACTAAGGTGGTGCAGCTAGACCCCAGCCAGAGTCTGACAGAGTAGATCTCAGTCTCTACCGAGGCAGTGGCAGTAGCAGCTGCACAGAAGAGCGAGCTCAGACTAGTCAGGTAAATTTCCTGCTAATATCCAAAGCGCAAAACATGGGACCTACTACAAACTGTTGTCTTTAATTGTGAGAGTTCCTGCAATATTTGTTTACAGATAACAAAATTGCAGTTTTTCAGCTCTCACAATAGCAACCACCTCACTTGCATCCAAACATCCCTATGAAAACACAAATTTCAAAATTCTAGCACAAATACTGCCTTAGTTATTGGTGTTTGTTTGTATAAGTGAAGCTCAAACCATTATGAAAAGATAAAATACTGCTTAACTTTTTTTTTTAACAAGCTAGCTTGATTAACTTTTAGAATTATTGAAGTTTAAATCTCCCGGGAAACAGAATCTAACTGAGATGGGATTTGAGGACTACACGCAGGGGGATACATTATTGGTTTTACTAAATGTGAAATGGAAATCCAAGCCACCTCTTAAGTCCTTGAAGACGCAAGGCTTCTTTGTAATCTTAAATGAATACAACATTGCAAATTTGTAAAAAAAAATTTTCTTGGGAGGCTGTTGTGATAAATGGCATAGAAACAGATCTTTTATGTCATTTATCTGAGGTAACTAAATGCCTTTTGGTGATTGGGGACATCGAGAATTTTCTGCTCATGGCAACTGGTTGAAATGATTTCTGAGAAACTAGTAAAGTGAGGTTTTTGTAAAAGGTTGCCATACTAAAGCTTTGATAATTATATAAGCAGATATTCTAGGAAAAAAAGACTATCCTGTAATGTTCCATACGATATACGGGGGGGAGGGTAGTAAGGCTTTTTAATTCAAGCCATGGCAATTGTAGGTTTTTTCCATGATGAACAAGTGACATATCTCACATTTGGAGCAAAATTGCTTTTCTTTGCAATTCTCTTATGCGCTTTAGTGCTCTGATGGAGGAGCCATCCCTGGTGCTCGAAAGCAGACAAATGGGTGGTCTTCCCTTGTAACTGTCTAACTATGGAGGGCTGAGTTGCACTCTGCTGGTTTTCTAACCTTCCCTCCAGTTCCCTAATACTCTTTTTAGTCTGTAGCCCTCTGAAGCCAGAACAGTACAATGTCTTTTGCTCTTGTATTCCCCTTCTTAACTTTTTTCTCCCTTTCGTGACACTTTTCTCTTTGTCTCTTTTCCTGCTAGGTCCTAGTGTCATCTTAATTGTCTGGCTTCTTTTCATTTGCTAGTCTTCTCCTTCCCTTGCCAGATTCTTCCTTCAGCTGTTTCCTCCTCTTTTGTCTTCAACTATTTGTCTCTGGTCAATTTTCACTTTTCTGCTATTTCAATAAGATTTTCTGACCCTATACCTACCGCACCATGCTGGACCGTATTCCCAGTATACCACTTTTTGCAAGGTACTTAAAAGCACAGGAGAGCAAACCAGTAATGAAACCCATTTCTGGTTCTGCCACAGAATTTCCTCGCAACCTGGAAGAAATTATATCATTTCTCTGGTCTCAGTTTGCTTACCTTTCTGGCAGTAAGGCTGCCAACCTCCTTCGGGTTATTGTAATGTGTCATTTGTGAAAGTTTGAAAAGTGGTTTTGATTCTGAGTGAAAAGGGCTGTTGAAGCACTTAGAATAATTTACTGTGGTTCACCACGTCTGCCACTGAGCACTACTGAAATTTCGGGGGTTTTGATTCAGTTCATTAGGCGATTACTGCTTTATAAATGGTTCCTTCCATCCTCCTCTCAGCGCTTGGCTAGCTGTAGGAGGCACTAGACTGTCCTTACAGTTTTAGTCTAGCTTACGTTGTTAAAAACCCAAAATGACCACAAATGGGATACCCCCACAAAGCGTGCAAGAGCGCACTGAGGATACTGATTTCTCCCAGCACGCAGCCTTGCTGTGTTTTCCCATCGAGCAGGTGGGCCTGCCTCCTTCTCCACAGGCACGGTGGCACCAGGGTGGGCAGCTCCATAAAGCTCACAGACTAGTTCAGAGCAAGTGACCGTGTTGTGTCGCTTCTTCCCCTAGAATCAACAGCAGCAGAATCAACATCAGCAGCAAACAGCACCTCAGCAGCAGCCGCAGGCAGCGCCGCAGCAGCCGCAGCCGCAGCAGCAGAACAGCACCCAGACCAACGGGACGGCCGGGGGCGCTGGCGCGGGAGGAGGGGGCGCGGGCGCAGGACTCCAGCACAGCCAGGACTCCAGCCTCAACCAGGTGCCTCCAAACAAGAAACCACGCATAGGGCCTTCAGGCGCTAACTCAGGCGGGCCTGTCATGCCTTCAGATTATCAGGTACCTCTTGAATTTTTGCTGCTTGTGATACTGTAGGGCCAAAATGTCATTTTCCCCCTTCCCCACTGCAAGAACAGATCATGTTTTAATGAATTTCTCATGTAACCTGAGCAGGCGTGCTATGGTATATTAGATAAAAATGTGGGTTTAAAGGTTTAAAGTAAAAAGGTTTTGTTCTGTGGTTAGTAATTGTCAATCAAATACCAGTACGAGTCGTATCTGCTGCACCCTGTAAAGTGTTGAGGACTAGTTCACTCCAGGAAAGCACTTAAATATATGCTTAACTTTATGTTTGAGAGTAATCTTACTGAAGCCAGTGGAACTATTTCGTGCGCATAAATGCTGTGTTAGATCAAGTTCAGGATACTTGGCTCTTGGCAATATTAAATCCTGTGTGAGAAGCAGATCTGAGAAGATCCTCAGAAGCAAAGTTAGAACCAAGCTCTCTCATTTGATTTCTGCTTCATTTTACCTCATATCATCACATGTATGGAGCAGTTCTGTAGTTTATTCTAGTATCTTGCTAAGTCTACTTCTAATGTTAAAGAAAAAAATGCATGTTAGCATGGGAATGATGTTTTGGTTCCATCAGTATGATTCATGCTGAAGTAGGGCACAAAGACACACCTGGTTTCTAATGTGACCAAAGTTGAATAGATTTCATGTTCTCCAGTACAGTAGCATTCGTAAGTACAAGCAGTATCACTGAATTATTTTTGGATTTCCATACTTGTCTTTGCTTACTAGAATTATATTTTCCACTGAAAAAGTGACTTACACTAAATACAGAAAGCATTGAACTTACCAGGATCTTCAGTACTTGTGAGTTTATACCTACTGGGACAGCAATGAGTTGTAAAGCAGAATAAGAAAAAGGTAGATATTAAAGGTAGATTTTAAAAGATGTTAGGGAATCTGTCTGCTACTAGCCTTTGAGAGGATCCCACCTTGGAAAATGGTCTCTTCAGGCTGCTTTAAACTTAAAATAAGTAGCTTTTAAAAAACCCAGCTCTGGAGTTGCCTTGACTTAGCCCTCCAGACCTTCTCCACAGACAATTGATTTCTCAGTGCCAGACATATTTCTCTCATTTCTGTTTTACTCTTTTAATTACAAATGATCATGAAGACATTGAGGGCAATTTAAGGGTAAAGACAACTAGGTTTCTTTTTTGAAAAGTTCCAGACAGGCTTGAGGTCTGGACAGATCACTACAGCTGTCTGACTACACAGTATTTATGGCTGGCCTGTTTTGGTCTGTGTTTTGAGGACTGGTGTGCTGCATTTGATGATATCCATTATAGAATCCTTATAAAGCTTACTGAATTGTTGGCAAACTTCCCCCTTACAAGTTGCTAGCAGTCTAAATATCTTTTTTTTTTTTTCAGATAGATTTTCTTTTTTTTTACCCCCTATGACTCTTTCCTTCTAAACTATAACAGCACAGGCATCAAAATGATGATCTGTATGTTTCCTTTACGTCACTTGCTAATTGTATGGTCTGATTATCCATTTTTACACTTGTGTTTGGCTATCTGCCCTTAAATTCTAGCTGACTGTCTTCTGTTCCAGAAAGGAATGTCTGCAATTTGTCCAAGTCTGACTTCGTTAAAAACAAATTCTCTTCTGTGGAACAAAAATAAGCATGGGCAAGTTAATGCATTCTTGCAGTCTTATGGCATTAATTTTACTCCATTATATCTTATTCAGAAGGAGGAAGAAGATTCCTTTTGCTTTGAGTTTCATTTAGCTTGTGATCTGAAGTCTCCATTGAATTCTTTTGGTAGTTCACCGACCTCAATATATGTCGCTTCCACAAATGACAGTGCGAATTCCTTATTGAATTTTACTGAGCATTCCTTATGTGACCTTGGGTGTTTTGCTTAGCATGGTGAGCTGATGCTTTTCATCCAGAACAAGTTCCTATAAAGTCATAGCATTTATCACAATTCTTTTTCTTTTCTGTTAGACGTTGGAAAAACTTGCAAAATTTTGAGACAAATTCCAGGCTTCAGACAACTCTGTTAACAATCTAACCATGCAGGCCAAGCATAATCTGGTTATCAACAGCATACATGCCACTGGGAGACATCTCTTCCAAAACCAGTGTGCTGAGCTGTTATCTCTCAAACTGACCCTTACAAAGTGAAGCTACTCCATACAACTATTAGTTATGTTGATATTATATAGAGATGCAGAGGTCTGCAAGATTGGACTGTTATCCCTCTCTCTTTAGCCTCATTGTGCTTCACCTTGAAAGCGACCTTCATATTCCTACATTAGACAGAACACAGAAAAAGTAATGTGATATTTTTAGGGTTTAGTATGTTTTACAATTTATGTAAAATTAAAGGCATAAAGCTATGTACAGAAACAAAGGGCAGAAGTGTTTTACACTGCCTGAAGTCTAGGTTCCTGCTCTTTATCATCCAGCTGAAAAGTTGTCAGGAGGCTTTCACAGCTCTCCTGCTTGGGATCCAATGGTTAGGTGAGACCGCTGACTGGGGTATTGCCTTCACTGAGCAGATTTTTGGTCTGTGCAGGATGTGATATTCTTACAAACCCACTCTCTCCATGGGATTTCCATTCAGAACTCAAACTTCTCCAGAGGCTTTCTGTAACTCATAATCCTGATATTTAATCAGAATGTAGGTTCTTAACACTTTTCCTAGACCATCGCTGTTGGCCACGGTCTTGCTGATGACACTTGGATATAGCCAAGTAGAACCATCAACTAGGCAGTGAGCAGAACTCTATTGAATGCTGCCTGACCCTGCCCTTAACTTGGCTGGAAACAAACTGTTTGCTGACTGCAAAGACTTTTGGAGTTTTTTGCAGACTCTCCTTTCTTGTGGATTGGGGTGGGGTTTACCTTGCTAGAGAGCCTCCTATCCATCGAGCTGTACTTTTTGTGCAAAGTGCTTTTGCAGCTTGCATTGTTTCGCAGCTTGCGCGATTAATTCTGGACAGGGAATGGATATGGTAATAGAAAGGGCAAATTCATCAGGCTGGAGGTCGCAAATGATCCATGAATTTGGCGTGCTGAAGTTGGGGTCCGCTGAGCTAACATCCCAAACATTGGAGGGGAAAAAAACCATTCAGGAAAATGAATGTTAGGTTATTGTACATACACATGCCCATCTTTAAGCAGTTGTCCTTGCTTCCAGTAGATAAGGCAGCAGGTTGAAAGATTCACCTAAAATTATATTCTTTTATCTTACTGGACATTTTTTCATTTAGATAAATTGAGTAACTCTTAGGTCATGGTTGTCTTTTTCTCAGGAACAGAATACATTGTTTCTCTGTAACATTTAGTATTACCTATCTTGAAAAGGGTGTGTGTGGCCTTAGCAGTTTGGTTTTGCATTTATAGCACTTACATTAATGATAGATGTAAGTTTAAGAAACACCTGAATTTTGAAATGGAGTCTGCTGTCTCTTGTGTATTTTTCCTTCAAAAAATGGGTGTGTACCTGCTGTACTTCTAGGTGTCTGACAGTGACCTTGTGTATTTTGTGTGCTGTGTTAAGGCTGATTGCAGATCAGATTGATTACTTGTTTTATGGGACCTTAAACAGTAACACTGTTTAGTCAGCTTCTCCAACAGTCACATTTTAATGAGCTTCAAAGAGATTAAAAGTTTCCTGAGCTACATAGTCCTAACAGGCTGGTTTTCATTCCCCTGATCCCACTCTCTTTTCC